TAAGCGGGCCCGGGGCACACACTCCGTGCTAGCTGCAGAGGCTCCGTCTAGAACAGCCCGGCTGCGAGGCAAAGGAGGAGGAGGCCCGGGGCGGCCAGACCCAGCACCCGCCCCGCCGCAGCCCCAGCTCCGCTGCCTGCGCGCTGCGCCCCAGGGTCCTAAGGTGAGCGCGGCGGCCCGGGGAAGGCCACGCGGGTCGCCGGAGGTGCCGCCCCGCCTTCTCCGCAGCTGACCGCCCCCTGCCCCGCTCTCCTGCAGGTCACCCGCGACAGCCCCGGCTGCGATGGAAACAGCCCAGGACCTCATCCCTCTGGCCAAGGACCTGGTGGCGCAGAAGCCCACGGGCAAGCTGGTGAAGTTGTACGTGCTGGGCAGTATGCTGGCGCTCTTCGGCGCGGTGCTCGGCCTGGTGGAAACAGTGTGCAGCCCCTTCTCCGCCGCCAGTCGCCTGCGGGAGGAGGAGGCCGCGGTGGCCGAGCTGCGCGCTGCGAGGGAGCGTCAAGCGCCCTGCACGCAGGTCGTGCGGGACAAGGGCCGGGGGCCGGAGCTGTGCGGCCGCTTGCCAACCCATCGCCAGCACGCCTCCTAGGGGCGCCCTCCGGCCGCCGGCACACGTCCCCGCAGTCTCTCCGGAGCGCCCTTCCTGCTCCCCGCCCCCTCTCCCACCGCCTCCCTGGGGCGCCCTCCTGCTGTCCCCAGGAGGCGGCGGACATCTCAGCCGACCTGCCACAGACGGCCAGGAGTCTGGGACTGAGTTTTGCTGCTGTGCAGCACTGCCTTATGATAGGTGCGTTTAGGAGCTGACGATCCGTCATTTTACACGAGGGAGGAAGAACAGCTTTTTATACTATTGCCATTATTATCGTTCTATTATTGTTATTACAGAGATCGCCGTTTTGCATTTTGAAATAAAAAAGCATTTTGTACTATATCTCACTAGCTACTGCCCGGGGGGCGGGCACAGGGCCGGGGTGGGCCACAGAGGGTGGGCAGGCCCTGTGACCTCTGAGCTTGCCCTTGCTTCATTCCAGGGGTCGCTGGGGTAGCTATTTCACATCCATAAATCTATG